CCCTCCAGGGCCCCCCTGGCCCGCCGCGCCCGTCCCCGACCCCCTCCGGGACCCCTCGGAGCCCCCTTTCCTGCCCGCTCCCGCCGTGTTCGCTCTGCCTCCTCTCGGCCGCCAGCCGCTCCACTCACTGCCTTCCTGCCCAGACCCTCACCGCCCCTGCCCTCCTACACGGCCCCGCCACCCAGTCCTGCACGGCCGTGCCCCTCGTTCCCCTCGGACCTCCACTGCGGCCCACCGGCTCTCTCCTTCCCGAAGCTCATGCTCTCCTTCTGGGTGCCCCTGTTGCATCACCCTTGAAAAAGATAGAAACCCTGCACCCAGGGCTGTTTTGCTCCGAGCGCCTTACTCCCTCCTTGGCTTGTCTTCTCATTACACAAACTAATTGCAGAAAGGTCATGGGAGTTGGGGATAAAGTTTCAGCAACCTTCTCTTTAAGAAGAGGCGGAGGCTTTTGGACAGTCTGACATAACCCGGTCCACCTCTGCTTGGCAGCCTTTCTTAAGCAATATTGGGTCCCGCGGTAGTTCTGGCACGAGGGAATGGGCTGCCAGAGCCGTTTTCACGTGCGGCTGTGTGACTGCTGTCCTGTGTTACGGTTGTGGGTTGTTGGTGGCCACAGAAATTGGGAGCTAGCTTTTCCCTTGGCTTTCAGTTCTTGTTCCTGGCTAGAGTGGGTGATGGTTAATACCTTAACCCGCCCTTGCCTCTCACGTGGAGAGAGCTCCGGGGCTTAGTGCCGCACCAGCGAGTGGCTTTCAGGAGGTAGGGCTTAGGGGCACCCAGGCCTTGTCCCATAAACCTTCCTGAGTCGCTCCATTGCATCCAAAAGTGGTGTGAGACACCTGCCCCTGGGTCCCCTGCTCCTGGCCGACTTTCTGGCTCATTTACTGTTCCTTGGCTCTTCGACTTTAATTAGAAATGATAATAGATTCAGATACATCTTTTTATTAGTCACATGACAAAAGAACAAGCAGATTGGAGGCTGGAACTGAAAGGGCCTTGGGAACTTTTCCTGGATTAACATAATATTTTTCAGATAGTGTTCATTTGAGTGTTCCGTGAAGCTAATCTGTGTAAAGTCTTAAAAAGTAGGATGAAAAACTGCAGACTAGGACAGGGAATTTAACCAGAGGAAAACTGTTAATGTGAATGGACGTAGAATGTTACAGCTTAGAAATGATCTCAGCTGTCATAGCATTGTTTAAGAACCTGGGCCTTTTCTGATTTACTTTCTCTCTAAAATAGGGTTAACCATACTATCTATTTCAAAAGGTTATTGTGAGGGTGACATAAGTTAATATATGTAAGTACTTAGCACAGTGCCAAGTGTATTGTATAGTTAAGTGTTCAGTAATACATGAGCTATGGTTATTTTGGGGGCCAGAGCTTGTGTGACAGTTTGACACAAGCCACAGACCTCTCTAGAGAAATGCATATATTGTATGCAAAACTGGTAGTTTTTATATAAATGAAGGGGGAGTTATGAACCACTATTGCACGTGCCTGAACTCAGGGCATCAGGTGGACAATCGCTGTTCTAGTTCAGCCTTTCGATTTATGGCTGAAGAAACAAGCCTAGAGGGACCAGCAGTTAGCGTAATGGCTGTGTCCCTGGACTCCCATGTAGTAGACCGCAGTTTGAGTCCTGGACCTGGTGGCTTAAACTCATGCCGGGCATGTGCGTGTGCATGCCCAAGATCCCGAGAGGAGAATAGAGGAGAAGGGATTGTGGCATGGCCATCCCCCCTGGGGGGTGATTTCTCACTTTCTGTCTCTCTGTCTTCCCAGAGAGCGCATGCACCCTATAGCAGAACCTCTCCAAAAACAGAAAGAAAGAAAAAAAGAAACAAGCCTGGGAGCAGTGACTTGCCCAGTTGCATGAAGGTCAGGCAGTGGATGGGAGCCCAGCTTCCTAACCAGGGCGCGTCCCTGCAGTACACATACATTCTGTGCCCCTTCTATGACATAGAATTTTTAAAGAAAAGTTTTAATAGTAGGTGCTGACATTTTCAGTGACTCTTTGGTGAGCAAAGTATCTTTTTTTTTTTTTTAAGAGAATTTTTTTTTTTAACTTTTTTTCTTTTTTTAAACTTGACCAAAGAGGGACAGAGTGAGGGAGAGAGAAAGGGAAAGCGAGAAAGCAAGCTGCCAGGTCTGGACTTGAGCCACAGTTGGCCACCTGGGGGTCCAGCACTCCTAATCACCACACTACCTGCTGGCCCCAAGCAAAGTGTCTTTTTCGATGAAGTAGGAGCAAGTATGACAGGCATTGGGATATTTCAGATTCTCTCAGCACTGGGTGGAAGACTGAGGAGGAAGTGGAAGAGGCTAGTATTACAGTTGTAGTTCCAGGCTCCAGGACGAGGTGCTGGGATGTGGGTCTGGTTAGGGGAAAAGGCTGAACCCCAGGGGCTTTTGTTTGTTGAGCTTGGAAAAGCTGCCTAATCATGTGTGACATTTGTGTCTCTGTGTAGTCTCTAACACACACACACAGACACACACACACACACACACACACACACACACACAGAGCCCTCCCTGGGGAGAAACTATGCCCTTGTGACTTGCTGAACTTGATGAGGAAAGGAAAGGCACATTGAGTTTGCCGTGTTAGATAAACATTGTAGGTGTCTGATAATTACTTGCTGGTGATGCAGTGCCATTTGACCTGGGGGAGAATGTCCCATAGCAGAGAGGATATTCCAGCGACTCATGTCTAATTTGGGGCACGAAGTTTCAGATAATAAAGTCTTTTGTTGGAACGCATCGTTCTGATTAGTAGATTATATTGATAAGATTTGTCGGGCCAAGAGATTTTTCCTAAGTGCCCGCTGTAGCTCAGGCTCTGACGTGGGCGCGGGGAGACATGTGTCTTTTCAGGGCTTGAACCCACGATTTGGATGACTGCGGCTCAAGGCAAGCAGCTTTAATGCACAGTGTTCATTGAAATAGATCCAGGAAGAGATGTTTACTTAGAAACACAAAGTAATCATTCATTTTTAAAAAATCTAAAATGGATTTTTCCCTAAGTTAGATTTTTATTTTCAATCACCTTACTAATGACCTTTTATTGTACAAGAAAGAAGCAATATGATTGATTGTAGAGCGAGTTAGAGGACAGTAGCTAATGGAAAAGACATGGGCTCTGGAGCCAGACAAGCCAGATTTGCCTTCCAGTTCTGCCACTAACGAGCAGGGCAGCCTTTGTGAGCCCTGGTTTCCTCATCGGTAAATGATCAGGAAGAAGCTGGCTCCGTCGCCCGGTGGGTAAGGCAGCTGCATCCCACAGGGCTGAGCCTGCGTTGGAGCCCAGACCCTGTGACTTGAGAAACATGCTGGGAGCATGAGGAACACAGTGGAAATGTGTTCAGACGTTCCCAAAATCCCAGAAGGAGAGCTGGCAAGTGGTGTGGTGAAGGTGCCGAATCCCACAGTCCAGCG